AAAAAAAACATAATCGATACAACCCATTTCATCAATTGCACTATATAATAGATCTAAGGTAATTCCCCATCCTGGATCTTGGATTCACATTCTTGTCCAATTCAGAGCTCCATTTTCCACTCCATCCTTCAATTGATCCTTAGCTGTACTTTTTCCTCTTAAATTCAGAATCATGGCTACAGCCCCTCTACCTGACCAATCATCCCACCAGAAATTGGCCTTTCCATTTCCCACCTGCCATTTAAGTTGAGGTTCCACCCTTTCCCTGATTTGTACCATCCTTCTCCATACATGAGAATCAGAATACTGTCAACTTTTCACAACAGGATGTACTCTTACCACAATATTTAACCATGAGAAACTTACTCCACAGTGAATCCCATTTCCTAAAGTTCCATCATAATTTTGCAGAGGCTGCATCAATCATATCCTGTAGGCCCACAAACCCAACCCCTCCCTCTTCAACTGGCTTAACTAGATTGGCCCAAGAGTTCCAGTGATGTCTAACTCTACCTTCTTCCATCCCCCAGAAAAAAATCAGCTAACAGTTTCTCTAATTGTTTCACAACTGCTTTAGGGGGGGTTAATTGCATAAAACATATGATTTGGCATTGTTCTTGATTAACTTTGACTAATAAAAACTTATTATTAACTTTTTTATATTCAAATTTTAGACGGGTTAATGCACGGAGTTTAAGAGTCTTGAACGTAATTGTAAGGATGATGAGTGGTTATCCACAACCATTAATAAGTAAGTATGATTTTAAATTATTTTAGATGTGGTATTATGTGCTTGCATTGTCTGAAATTAAACGTTTAACATTGTGATTATTTTTAGGTGGATTGATAAACATGCTCGTGTATATGTTTACCCTATCGAGCTCGGCATATATCAAATCCAACTTGGCAATGAAATAGTGGATTTTTGTTATGTTAGCCACCCTTGCTTCAATCATAGCAACCATGATTTGTGGACTACAAAAGTGGATTTTTGTATATATGATTGGTGCGCCTTTATGTTATTTTGGATATAGTTTCTGTTTGTAAGATGATGATGATGATTTGTTATAACGTACATTATTAACTAGTACAAATGCCATTGACTTCTTTATGTTCTGTATGCACTAAATAGTGTGAATTTTAAAGGTGTGTAGTGAGAATTTACAGTATGCTGCTGTCATAATTGTTTAGGTTTTACAGATCTTCAATATATAATCAGGGTCGATTTTTAGATTTTTGTGGCCCTGTTCGGGTAAATAAATAAGGCCCTGTCAAAATTAAAATCTATAAAACTAATACCGTAATTTTATTATCTAAACATATAACCAAAAAAAAAATTATCTGTGCATTGCATGCACATCGCACGCACACTGCACAGATAATTGGGCAATTATTTGCTCGAATTCAACCCATTTCATCAACGCACAGGTAAAAATAGTCATATTATGGAATAATAATAGTGTGCACAAATTTTGAACCTTAGACCTCAAAGTTAAAATATAATAAATACATGTTCCTACCATTTCTTTATAAAGCTTTTTAAGTTTAATTAAAAACTTTTAATTTTTATTTCTAAACTAACTAGGTAAAAATAAAATATTAAACTTCTAAAATTTGAGGCCCCTCTAATATTTGGGGCCATGTGCGGTAGCCCAGCTTGCACAGCCCAAAATCCGAGTCTGTTTCTCCTTCACTCCAAAGTCACGTTCATCACAACCGTCCATGCCAGAAACCAATAGTTATGCTGTGCAACCGAATGCACCATGGGTATGGTGCATACGATGCAAAACGACGTCGTTTTGACTAAAAACGCGCGTCCCATTTAAAAAAAAAAAATCAGGTTTGATTCTCGGCAATAGCATTATTGTGGATATATAGTTATGAATTTCTGGATATATAGTTATGAATTTATGGATATTTAGTTCATTCATTGTGAATATTTAGTTCATTCATTGTAGATATTTACTTCATTCATTCACTGTGGATATATAGTTATGAACTTCTGGATATATAGTTATGAATTTATGGATATTTAGTTCATTCATTGTGGATATTTAGTTCATTCATTCACTGTGGATATATAGTTATGAATTTGTGGATATATAATTATGAATTTATGGATATATAGTTATGAATTTATGAATATATAAAAATGCTATTGCCGGAAATCGAACCTGATTTTTTCTTTAAGTGGGACGCGCGTTTTTTAACCAAAACGATGTCGTTTTGCATCGAATGCACCATGCGCATGGTACATTCGGTTGCACAGCATAATTTGCGGCCAGAAACAATCTTTTGTGTTTCTCTAATGTCATCTCCCAGTTCCACCGCTACTTCGGCTTCCGCTTGACGGCCTCCCCCGACGACTACCAGCGCTCAGGCGTCGGCATAGTACAAGTCCTGAAGGAGATCGTCACCTCCAGCGGCGAGGATAGCGTGCCGCCAGGGTGCATCATCGATTCATCGCCGATGGACTCGCGATTTTTCTTGTCTTCAGCTGTCCATTTACTAGCTTTTTCAACAGACAATGTGTCCCCTTAATATTTTATAATTAATAATATTTACGATCAACTGAATTTAGTTTTTCTCGTGCGTATTTTTTAGTAATAATAATATTTGGGCAGTCGTTTGGCTTATTGGGCATTCCATGCATAGTCGTCGTTGTATTATATCTTGGGTCTTTGAAATTAAATTGGACCTAGAGGTGGGTTGAAAAAAAAAAACATGAAATGTGACTATGTGGTTGCATTTGGCAAATTATATCATGGATTAAGGTCTACTTTGTAGATTTTTTTTGTATCTATAGCTATCATATTATGTATCAGCAATTATCAAAGTCAGATTTTGTATCTAATGGACACATTCTGTACATGCAGTTAATAATTTCTGTAACTGTAACTATCATATATATATATATATATATATATATATATATATATATATATATATATAATTTATATATAGATTCACATGTATATTTATATAGTTCTATTTATGTAGATTATTATATATAGATTTTATTATTATTATTATATTAGATATAGTTCATACTAATTTCGATTTTTTATTATATTTATTTTCTTCTTCCAAATACTTATTATATTTATTTTGTCTGTAGTATTTGTAGATAATTAAAGGTTAAATTACAAATGATTTATTCATGTCTAGTTATATGTGGCTGCATTAAGAATAAGTAACTCGGATGGCCTTAAAATATTACTTTGTGATGAATCACAAAATGATTGTATTTCACTATTTCTAATGTAGCTTACCAAGAAATTTTTAATAAATTGTAACTTAGTCTTTCTTTCAATAATATTATCTTCTATTTTTTAAAAAAAATTAATTGTAAAGCAACATTTTCTTATATTAATATAATATTTTCTCTGTGCATCGCAGGACGGAACATTATCTAGTTTTTTTTAATAATAATAATAATAATAATAATAATAATAATAATAATAATAATAATAATAATAATATTTTGGGTAGTCGTTTGGACAATTGTTATGCTATGGATCCAGCATGCATGCTGGACACAGTAACGGTGCCGTTAGTGGCACCATTCTCTTCCACTTCTTTTTTTTTTTTTTTTTTTAAAAAAAATCAGATCACTTTGTTATAGGAGTATATGTTCATAATTTTATCACTATATGTTCATAATTGTAAGTTCATAATGTCAGAGGTCTGTGTTCATAATTTTATAACTTACATTCATAATTCCATAACTGTACATTCATAATTCCATAACTGTACATTCATAATAGCACAAACAAATAACGCTGTTAACGGCGAGATAAAATCAAATTTTTTTTTAAAACTGGAATGACACATTTTTCTTGAAAACGACGTCGCATGCAGGGCATAATTTGCTGTCGTTTGGCTTGTTGGGCATTTCATGCATAGTCGTCGCAGTATTAAATCTTGGGTCTTGAAATTAGATTGGACATGGAGGCGGGTTGAAATCAATCGTTATGCTGTGTATCCGTATGCACCATGCATGGTGCATACGGATGCCAAAACGACGTCGTTTTATTAAAAAACGCGCGTCCCCCCTTTAAAAAAAATTCAGGTTCGATTCCCAGCAACAACATTATATTGTTCATTCATTCTGGAATTTTAGTTCATAGATTATGAAATTATAGTTCATTGATTATGGAATTATAGTTCATCGATTATGGAATTGTAGTTCATCGATTCTGAAATTTTAATTTATAGATTATGGAATTTTAGTTCATTCATTATGGAATTTTTAGTTCATAGATTAGATTATGGAATTTTAGTTCATATGTTGTTGCTGAGAATCGAACCTGGTTTTTTTTTTAAAGGAAGACTGTCATGATCATTGACCCTAAAAATGATACATCAAAGGCTGATCTGCAAATTGGAATTGAGAGAAGAAGTTAAGTGGGGAAGTCGGAGGACCAAAACGACACAGTTTGCATTATTAAGTTGAGCCGTTAAAACTTAAATAGAACGACGCCGTATGAGGCTTAACCGTTGGTAGTTGAGAGCAGTTGGAGAAGAAGGGAAAACGACGTCGTGGGACGCATGAGCTGTCTCAGGCTGATGTCCTGGAAGAAGGTTGCCGGTGGCATGCGAGGAATCCGGAGTTTGTTAGAAGATCCTTGGAGGCATTAGCGTAGCTTTTGTTGTTATCTAGTCTAGTGAGATATTTTTATCATTCATGCATGTTTTTGGATTGGTTTTAGCCAAAAACCCTAATTTCCTCCCAATTTCCCTTCTCAGTCCCAAATCTGTTCTTCTTCTTCTCTACCTTTTCTGTGTGGATCTTTTGTCTAGATTGCAGGTGTGTGACATTTGGTATCAGAGCTCCTTTGCTGGGCTACAATGGTGAACAACGAAGAACGATTTAGGGCCTTGCAAGAGAAGCAAGCCGAGTTTGAAGCAAGGTTAGAGGCAAGCAACCTTGAGCAAAATACAAGGATCACTGATGGGCAGCAGAGAATGAAGCCTCTATCCTGGAGCTTAGAGCACACATGGTGGAGTGGAAAGATGAGATTATGGAGCTCTTAAGGCTGAACCAACCACCTCCACCATCCATGGAACAACCCTCAGTCCATGGGCAGCCCCCACCCCCTCAACAGAGCCCAGGAGAATGTAGTGTGGATCCAGGTAGGAGACCTGGTAAGGAGCCTGCTAGGGAAGGCCAAGTGGAAGTAGAAGAAGTCTCTGATGAGGATGAGGGATTACCAGAGCATCACTTTGGATTCCATGGGATCCCTGAACCAGTCAGACCAGGATTGGCTAGAAGGGTGCATTTTGGAGCAAGGGCAGGCCACCACAACCCAGGGGGTGAACAAGGAATGAGGTACAAACACGAATTTCCTGTTTTTGATTATGAAAATCCCAGGTTGTGGGTGATAAGGTGTGAGAGGTTCTTCATGTTAGCTAGAATTCCTAGAGAGGAAATCTTGCATATCCTGTGTGTGAACCTGACTGGGAAGGTGGCATTGTGGTATGAAGGATACCTCAATGGCCTGAGAGAAGGGTTTCAGTGGCCTTTGTTTGCTAGGGCAGTATGTAAAAGGTTCTGCCAGAGTGATGTAGATGTGATGGAAGAATTCTCAACTTTTAAGCAATGGGGGAATGTGGTTGAATTTTCAGATAAATTTGAAGAATATAAGGGGTTGTTGCTGCAAGTTTATCCATTCCTAACTGATCAATACTTTCTAGACAGCTTTGTTGTGAGATTGAAACAGCAACTTAGGTGTTTTGTGAGAACATCTAAACCAGAAAACTTGGAAGATGCTATTTGGGTAGCCAGACAGTTTGAAAAGCGTCTTAAGGTGAGTGAGCCTCAGAAAAATACATCCCACTCCAACCTCAAAACCACCTCTACTTTCCAGAAAAATCAATCCTATCCTAAACCTTATAGCCAAAAAAACCCTGAGCCTAATAGATCCCAATTCCACCAGAGTTCCCTTAAAACCACAGCATCCAATACCCCACAGACTTACACCAAATCAACTGAAGTCAGTAGGTTTAAGAGTCAGCTCAGGGAGCAAAACAAGTGCTTCAAGTGTTTTGAACCCTGGAACCCTGGCCACAAATGTAAGGGTCCAACCTTCAATATAATTGAAGAATTTGAGTCTCCAGAGCTTGAAGAGGAGAACAAAGAGGACCAACCTGAAGAAGAGGAGGCAGTGGGGGACTCAGGACAAGATGAGGCTGAAGTGACCCTATGTGCAGTGATTGGAGGGGAAGGAATGAACACCATCAAATTGATGGGAACCATCAATAGGCAAACAGTTGTAATCTTAGTGGATTGTGGAAGTACACACAGTTTCTTGGATCCAAGGATATTGAACCAGCTAAAAATCACTCCTGCAAAAGCTAGTCCCCTTACAGTGACAATAGCCAATGGTGATAAACTTGTATGTGATTCAGTGTGTTGTGGGATTAGGTGGACAGTGAATGGGGAGGAGTTTGAGAAGGATTTTAGATTGCTGAGGCTTGGTGGGTGTGACATGGTCCTAGGAATGGACTGGATTGACACCTATGCACCAATCCAATTGCATACTAGACCTCCTAGTATCTCATTCCATAAGGAGGGCAAAAAAGTGTTACTGAAAGGCATGTCAAGAAAGGCTGCTTTGCAACAGGTTTCTAAGAAGGAGTTGAGGAGATGGCAAAAGGAAGGAGTACAGGGGTTCCTAGTACATGGCACTTCCTATAGTGTCCAAGGAAATATCAGTGTAAGTCACCACCAAAAACCTGACCCTCACCAGCAAGAACTGACTGCAATCCTACAGGAGTTCCATGACCTATTTGATGAGCCTAAAACCCTACCCCCACATAGACCCTTTGACCATGAAATTCCCTTAATTCCAAGCACTAAACCAGTAAACATCAAGCCCTACAGATATTCCTATTTACAGAAAAACATCATAGAAAAAATGGTGGAAGAAATGCTGTCAGCAGGCATCATCACCCCTAGCACATCATCCTTTGCCTCACCTGTGCTTTTGGTGCCCAAAAAGGACAATTCATGGAGATTCTGCATTGATTACAGAGCTTTGAATGAAATCACCATCAAGAACAAGTTTCCAATCCCTCTAGTTGAAGACTTATTCTCAGAATTAGCCAGTGCCAAGGTATTTACTAAGCTGGATTTGAGGAGTGGATATCATCAAGTGAGAATGAAGAAAGGTGAGGAACATAAAACAGCCTTCAAGACACACCAAGGCCTGTATGAGTTCATAGTGATGCCCTTTGGGCTCACCAATGCCCCTGCAACATTTCAGGCTCTTATGAACTTTGTGTTTAAGTCTCTAATCAGGAAGTCAGTCTTAGTCTTTTTTGATGACATATTGGTGTACAGTTCATCCTTTGAGGATCATTGGAGGGACCTGAGAGAGGTGCTGGGAATTATGAAGGACCATCAACTGCTAGCAAAGATGAGCAAATGTACCTTTGCTACATCAGAAGTGGAGTACTTAGGCCACATAATCTCAGAACATGGGTTGAAAACTGACCCTGCTAAGCTAACTGCTGTGGCAGCCTGGCCTAAGCCAACTAGTGTCAAGGGTTTGAGAGGGTTCCTAGGCCTTACTGGGTACTACAGAAGGTTCATCAAAGCTTATGGGACCATAAGTAGGCCCCTTACCAACATGTTGAAAAAAGATGCCTTCCAATGGAGCAATGAATCAGAGGTGGCTTTTGAAGAACTGAAGAAAGCTTTGTGTACTGCCCCAGTGTTAACACTACCTGACTTCAATAAAGAGTTTGTAGTGGAGGCTGATGCTTGTTACAAGGGGATGGGGGCAGTTTTGATGCAAGGAGGGAAGCCAGTGGCATACTTCAGTAAGGGATTTGGAAACAAGCACTTGGGATTATCAATATATGAGAAGGAATATCTATCCATCATAAATGCAGTTGACAAGTGGAGACCTTATTTGATTGGGGGGCATTTTATAATCAGAACTGACCATCAGAGTTTGAAGTTCCTATTAGAGCAAAAGATCACCACAACTATGCAACAGAAGGGCTTAACCAAGTTACTAGGCTTGAGTTATACTATTCAGTACAAGAAGGGTGTGGATAATTGTGTGGCTGATGCTTTGTCCAGGAGAGATAACCAAGAACAAGCTGAACTCTTAGCTGTGTCAACAGTGAGACCTATGTGGATAGAAGAAATCTTGAAAAGTTATGAGAAGGATGAGCTGGCTTCCAAATTACTGCCTATGAATCTGATTGCCCCTAATCAGGATTCATTGTATACAGTAATAGAGGGCCTAATTAAGTATAAAGGGAGATTGTACATTGGAAGTAATGGAGAATTAAGGAGTAAACTTATAGCTCAAATGCACCATTCACCTATTGGAGGACATTCTGGACAGTAAGTTACCTACCATAGGCTTAAGCAACTATTCCACTGGAAAGGAATGAAGAAGGAAGTGAAGCTGGCACTAAGGAGCTGTGATGTTTGCCAGAGATGTAAGGATGAGAATGTGGCCTACCCTGGGTTGTTACAACCACTCAAGATACCTGACCAGGCCTGGAAGAGTATATCCATGGACTTCATTGAAGGGTTTCCTAATTCTCATGGGAAGTAGAGCCGTCAAAATGGGCTTAGCCCGCCGGGCCGGCCCGCCCCGCCCCTACTTAGGTAGGGGGCGGGTTTTGAAAATAGAGGACCGTTTAGGAGCGGGCTTTTTTGGCCCGCCCCGCTTAGGCCCGCGGCCCGCCAGGCCTGCGGGTTGCCCGCCATTATTTTATTTTATTTTATATAAAATATTTTTATATAAAATATGTACTTTAAAATTATTGTTATGTGTAATATTTTTGGACTTTGTAGTTGTGACTAGTTTGATGTTTGATAAACTATGAACTTTGAAATTTATGTAATATTTAATGTGAGTTATGATTTATATATCAATTTATTTTAATTAGTTAGATGTTTGATGAACAATTTTTAAAAAAAAAAAGGGTTTGGGCGGGGGCCCGCCTAGCCCGCGGGCCACTGGCGGGGCGGTCCGGGCCTGTCAAACCCAGGCCCGTTTAGAAGCGGGCTTTTTTAGCCCGCCCCGTTTAGGCCCGCGGCCCGCCGGGCTTTGGCCCGCCCCGCCCCGCCGGCCCGTATTGACAGCACTAATGGGAAGGAAGTCATAATGGTAATTGTGGACAGGTTCACCAAATATAGCCATTTCTTGGCACTCTCACATCCCTATACTGCTGAAAGGGTGGCTGAGCTATTCATGGAACATATTTATAAATTGCATGGGTTGCCACAGGACATTGTGAGTGATAGGGACAAGGTATTCTTGAGTAAATTCTGGCAGTTTCTGTTCAAACAGCTACAAGTGAAGTTAAGTATGTCATCAGCCTACCACCCACAATCTGATGGGCAAACAGAAAGGGTCAACAAGTGTTTGGAAACATACCTGAGGTGCATGGTTTTCCATAGACCAAAAGCATGGGTTAAGTGGCTTCATTTAGCAGAACATTGGTACAACACCAATTTTCACACTTCTCTGCAATGTTCCCCTTTTCAAGCATTGTATGGGTATCTCCCACCAGCCTTGACCTTTGATATAATTACAGAAGGAGAGGGGAGTGACTGGTTCAAAGGAAGGGCAGCTATGGTGGCCCTACTCAGGGAAAACCTCCACAAAGCTCAAGCCAGGATGAAGCAACAGGCAGATAGACACAGGAGTGAGAGAGCATTTGAGGAGGGAGATTGGGTGTACCTCAAAATACAGCCATACAGGCAGGTTTCCATGGCAATTAGATCCAACATCAAGCTTACTTCCAGGTATTATGGACCTTATGAGGTCATTGAGAAGGTAGGCAAGGTGGCTTACAAACTTAGACTTCCTGGAGAAGCTTCTATCCACCCTGTATTCCATGTGTCTTTGTTGAAAAAAAGGGTAGGAGATGGAATAGAACCACAAACAGAATTACCTTCCACAAATGCAGATGGCATGGTTCTAACTCAACCTGTGGCTACCCTTGGAAAGAGAATGGTAAAGAAAAACAATGCAGCTGAGACAGAGATCCTAATTCAGTGGGCCAATTTGCCAAAGGAAGCAGCTACTTGGGAAAATTATCATCATATAGTGAAGCAGTTCCCAAATTTTGATCCTTGGGGACAAGGATCCATTGGAGGAGAGGGTAATGTCATGATCATTGACCCTAAAAATGATACATCAAAGGCTGATCTGCAAATTGGAATTGAGAGAAGAAGTTAAGTGGGGAAGTCGGAGGACCAAAATGACACAGTTTGCATTATTAAGTTGAGCCGTTAAAACTTAAATAGAACGACGCCGTATGAGGCTTAACCGTTGGTAGTTGAGAGCCGTTGGAGAAGAAGGGAAAACGACGTCGTGGGACGCATGAGCTGTCTCAGGCTGATGTCCTGGAAGAAGGTTGCCGGTGGCATGCGAGGAATCCGGAGTTTGTTAGAAGATCTTTGGAGGCATTAGCGTAGCTTTTGTTGTTATCTAGTCTAGTGAGATATTTTTATCATTCATGCATGTTTTCGGATTGGTTTTAGCCAAAAACCCTAATTTCCTCCCAATTTCCCTTCTCAATCCCAAATCTGTTCTTCTTCTTCTCTACCTTTTCTGTGTGGATCTTTTGTCTAGATTGCAGGTGTGTGACAAAGACGCGCGTTTTATTAAAACGACGTCGTTTTTGCATCCGTATGCACCATGCATGGTGCATACGGATGCACAGGATAATTTGCCGGTTGAAATTAGATTCGACCTGGAGTGCATTTTTGTTGTTTTCTTTTCTGGGTTTGTGAAGTCGTTTTTTGGGCATTTCATTTCATGCATAGTCTTCGTAGTGTTAAATCTTTTGTTTGATGAGATGGGCGTGGACGCAAAACAAGAAGCATCTTCTAACGATGAAAATGGAGCTGTGAATACGTCTCCCAACACAGTACCCAGTAGTGGTTTCAATGGACGGAATTCCGTGGATGATCGTGGTCGCTGTGACCCGCTAGATAAATTGCACTCCCAAGATTCACAGCCCAATTGCTCAATGAAGCCCCTGCCTACTCATGAAATTCTCTCTAATGTGCCAAATTCCTCTGCAGAAGATAATAGCAATGTAACTTTTTGGCTTTTCACTATCAAGTCTCATCCTATTAATTGTGTTCTTTTCTGGGTTCATTTAAGGGAACATTTTGTATTCATCATGCAGCAGAGGTTGGTGTCTTCACAAGAGTACCCTCAGATGTCTGCTGAAGGTAAAGAAGGAAACCAAAGGATGAGCATGAAGAGAAAGCGCCCATTGGACAATGAGAAAGTATTTTATACTTTTTCCTAACATAAAACTGCATATACAATTTCTTTATGATTTGAAACTCTAATGCTACTTGCTGTCCAAATCAGGGTCTCATCTCAACCTGTTTCATATCACACTAAACTTCAATTTCATCTTAAAATTATTCTCTTTTTGATTGATATTTTCAATACATGCTTTTGGAGATGTGTGTTTATCTAGGGACTAGGCTGGGGTGATATTTATATATATGCTGGACTTCACTTCCTTAATCTGCAAAGGTCTGATTGGTAGTGTATGCCAGGTTCTGGAGAAAAGAGAGATAGCATATGATGAGAGTCTTGTTGGTTCCAAGGTCAAAGTTTGGTGCCCATGGAATAGTGTGTAAGTTCTTCACATACATCTATAATTTAAGTCATAAGCTATTAGATATCCTCCTCGCAAGAGGAGTGAATACTTTCATGGGGTGTGGGAATGTGGGATTATAGAGCTATGGTTGGGTGTTGATTATAGGGCTATGTCTGAGGGTGTGTTTGGTTGGCAGGTTTAGCACTCAGGTATGGGTATGAAAGTGATTGTTATTGTTTGGTTCACTGGTTTTTAAAACACTACTATGGGTTTAGAATACCACATTAATGGAAAAACTCATTCCCTTATTTTATTGAGGTTTTCATCCCATTATTCATCCTTAGCCTAATCATTCCCATTTCACCCTACTACCAAACATGCAAAATACTTTCATCAAAATCCATTACCATTACCAAGTATTTGATACCCATTCCGATTCCGATTCCGATGTGCGAACCAAACACACCCTGACTGTTGATTGGTGAGGTGGGTTGGATGTTATGCCGGGCAATCCCACCTTGCCATATTGCTGCTATTATTGTATTAAGGACTGCCGGAGGTAGCATGGGCCAGCAACTTGTTGGTTGTATGCCTCCTTGTTGTAAAATTATGTCAAAAAGCTTAACTAGACTGTAGCCTTAGGTTTAGGTGTTTGAAATCTATGGCTATGATTAGCTCTTGTCTTGTATAAATAGCTCTACATTTCCTTGTACATATGAACAGAACATATAGAAATATACAAGTTGAGTTCATTGTTTAACAATTTCCAGTAATATAATATACTAACTTTTCTTTTCCTATTACAGTTTTTATGAAGGTGTAATAGAATCCTTCGATCATGTTAAAAAGAAGCACAAGGTTTGTTCATTTTTGCCTTGTAATGGTTTGTTTACGCCATGTGGCACTTTCAGACAATGAACAGTTCATTTACTTCCAATCAGGTTTTATACACTAGAGGAGATGAAGAAGAACTGAATCTTAGGAAGGAACAATGGGAAATTGTAAGCAATAATTTAATAGGAGAAACGGTGTGTTCTCTGTCAACTTTTAGATTTCTTGTCATCATCTTTTCTGCTTTTAAGTGTTCTTTGATTATCCTCGTTTTATAGGACTTTGACAAATCTTCTAACACTTTTTGCATTGCCACTTAAGGTTTTTCTTTTCTTTTAATTTTAGTCATTTTGACTAAATATTGGCTTAGTTTTAATTTTATATAATAGATTATATAGTTCAAAATAGAACTTAGAACTAAGAAACAAGATTAAAGGTACTCCTTGTCTTGAAAATTGTTTTTCGTATGATGAACACTATGCTTTTCTAAGTAATTTTAGTGATAATATAGATAGGCTTCAACATTGAATGTGTGTATCAATTTTGCAGATTAGTGTTGCAGAAAACATTGAGATGGGTTTTGAGTGTACTATTGGAGCCATAGATGCCGCGCGAGCCAACAAACAACAGGTGGTTGAAACAGAGCATTTAATGAAAGCCCTTCTGGAGCAGAAGGATGGGTTAGCTCAGAGAATATTCACTAAGGCTGGGCTGGATAACACATCAGTTTTGCAAGCCACAGATACATTTATATCTCAACAGCCTAAGGTATGAGCTATAAATTTCAATTGTTTAGATTATCTGTTACTTGTTCCCTAAATGTCTGAAGTAAGTAACTGCATTTTTGCTTGCAGGTGACTGGTGATACTAGTGGTCCCATTATTGGGCCCCATCTCTACTCTCTCTTAGAAAATGCAAAAAAACATAAGAAAGAAATGGGTGATTCCTATGTTTCTGCAAAGCACTTGTTGTTAGCTTTATACTCAGACACAAGATTCGGCCAGCAACTATTTAGAACTCTGCAACTTAGTGAGAAATCTTTAAAGGAAGCTATCGAAGCTGTACGTGGAAATCAGAGAGTAACTGACCAAAGTATGTGCATAATAGCATGCTCTTGTTTTTGAACACCACTTCCCTTTTAGAATTTCATCCTTGAATATATCATAAATTTGAATTTAAAATTTTCCTAATGTGCTAGAAGTAATAGATGTTAATTCTGTACAGATCCAGAGGGAACGTTCCAGGTACTTGAGAAATATGGGATTGACATGACTGAACTGGCCAGGCAAGGCAAACTTGATCCAGTGATTGGTCGGGAGGATGAAATACAGTGTTGCATTCAAATTTTGAGTCAGAGGACAAAAAACAATCCTGTTATTATTGGTGAGCCCGGTGTTGGAAAAACTGCAATTGCTAGGGGGTATGATCTATAGTTTCCCGTGTTTCTTTTCTGTGTATGTTTATTTTTTATTTGTTTGGCATATGCTTAGTTGAATATGCACCTTTTTAAATCTAAAATTACAATGGGTAGCACATACCTTAGGCCCTGTTTGGTAAATGGCTGTTAGCTGTTAGCTGTTAGCTGATTGTGTTAATTAGAAGGTATAAGTAGTTGATGACATTAGCTGATTGTAGAAAAGTGTTTGGTAAATTAGCTGTTAGCTGATAGCTTTTTGGTATAATTTCTTTTCTGAAAAAGCTAATTGAAAAAGTTGCTTGGAGTAGCTTTTTGAATTTTAGCATTTTGGAGTTGCAAAAAGCTAATTAATCAAACACTTGTATTGATATTTTAACTAAAACAAACAATTAGTAGTGGTCAAATAAGCCAAAATTGGCCTATAGGCCGCCTTATTCTTTTTTAGAGTTAAGATAAGTATACTTTTTTTACTGATACAAGCACTGCTTTAACTATTAGCGTTAAGTACGATTGTGTATAGAAGTTACTACATATTGTCAGACCTGTCAGATGATCACAAATAGATGCATGGGGATTATACAAACTGGAGAGGTGATGGTCACGTGTTTTTCTTTGAGGGAGATGTTCTGCCTTCTTCATGATGTATACTAATAAAACCTTATGAAATGTTCTCTTCTTTATGTGTTTCTTAATTAGAGAAGAGTTGGTTGCAGTAAAGCACATAAAGCAATGCAAGGCTGCAGAATAAAGAATAAAATATCATCTTTCTTGCCACTTAAGAAGAGCTGAAAATTTTACGGCTTCTTCACAACAAGATGTTTAGTCCAGCTTTTAATGAGGCATTCACCTATGTAATATGTGTACTGAGATTTTGTTCCTTTGTCCCTAGGTTGGCACAGCGGATTATCCAAGGAGATGTTCCTGAACCTCTCGTGAATCGGAAGGTTATAACTACTATTCCAAAATTTAGATTTTGTTTGAGATGTATTTTGTCATGCAATATATTTTGAATGTGATCCTTAATATGCCAATTTTTATTTTAGTTTTGAGGGTAATGTTCTTTTCATGTAAGCAGTTGACAGTCTTTTTGTTATTGGTCAGTTGATATCATTGGATATAAGTTCACTGCTTGCTGGCTCCAAGTTCCGTGGAGAATTTGAGGAAAGATTAAAAGTTGTATTAAACAATGTAATTGCTTCAAATGGGCAGATTATAATATTTATTGATGAGATCCACACTGTTGTTGGTGCAGGTCAAGTTTATTCCATTTCTTCTTCGTATTTTTCCTTTTTCTGTTATGTACTAGTTTTGTTTTCCTTTTATTTATTAGTCACTTAGTCAGTGCTCACTTCCTGTCAGTTCACGCAACCTTTTGTTAAATTGGCCTCAGCCTCAGCCTAAGCAAAAGTAGTGTGTTTATTTTCATTTTGCTGTTTAAAGTAAAAGCTCAAATTAGGCATTTCTGGTATGATTTATGAATAGGTGGTACCGGTGGGGCAATGGATGCTGGAAATTTACTGAAATCAATGCTTGGTCGTGGTGAACTTAGATGTATTGGAGCAACTACACTGAATGAATATAGGAAGTGCATTGAGAAAGACCCTGCTTTAGAACGTAGGTTTCGAAAAGTATACTGTGGCCAACCATCTGTGCAAGATACAATTTCCATTCTTCGTGGGTTGCGAGAACAGTACGAGTTGCATCATGGGGTCAAAATATCTGACAGTGCCCTTGTATCAGCAGCGGTTATTGCAGAAAGATATGTTACCGAGCATTTTTTTACCAGAAAAAGGTATGCGGCGGCTGCAAAAGTTTCAGGGAAATTGTCACTTTGAATATCTATCGTTTGCGGACTGAGCTTGCAAAGGCCCTTGCTGCTTACCTTTTCGACACAGAAAATGCTCTCGTGCGGATTGATATGAACGAGCATATGGAAAAGCTTTCGGTTTCACATTTAGTTAGTGCGCTGCCAGAAGTGGTCCAACGGAGGCCTTATTCAGTGGTGCTATTTGATGAAATTGACAAGGCACATCATGATGTCTTCAACATTCTGTTACAAGTGTTGAATGATGGAAGAATAATAGACTCCCATGGGAGGAGTGTTAGCTTCACAAACACTGTTGTGATACTGACAGCAAACATTGGTTCACAACCCATTATTGACACTCTTCAAATCCAGCAAGGTAGTAAAGAGGCAGTTTACGAATTCATGAAAAAACAGGTTGTTGACTTAGCAAGACAGAGTTTTCGGCCTGAGTTCATGAATCGAATTGACGAGTACGTTGTTTTCCAACCTCTGGACGTGAACCAAGTTAGCCGAATTGTTGAAATTCAGGTACGTACAACATTTATTGGCATGCCTTTGTTTTTCAAATTGCTCCCACTTGCTCTTATCCTAGAGCCTTGGTGGAGAGGTAAAACAGGATGTGCCTTAGTGATCTCAAGTTGATGTTTGTACACTAAGGCCCACAACAAGATAATTTCATATCTAACCTTAATTGTTAGGAACCAAACCCTCACCTAAAGTAGAGTTATCAACTCTATTTATGGTCCGTTTGGAACATGGAAAATGACTCAATAATTTCTAGAAAACATTTTCATTTCCTAGTGTTTGGCTAAAAGTAAGAAAATAATCTATTTGTGTTTGGTGGAAAGTGGGGTAGGTCAAAATATGTAATGTTTGGTCTAGCCCAATCCAATCTATATTCAAGGCTAAACTAAAGAAATTGAAGAAAAGAAATTAAACTTAAATGTCTTTTAATCTTTTAGGCTATGGGTGGGGTCGAGTTATTGTTTGACCTAAGCCAACCAAACTCATAGTTTAACTGAGGTAGCCCTATTCAGTATGAATAATAATTAGACAGATAGCAAGAGAGAAAAAACTGAGCATGAGTTAGCAATTTGGAAAATGCGTTTCGAATAAAAATTCTGGAAGACATTTTCTGTTAAAATTGGTATTTTTTTTTTAGACGAGAAGAGTATTTTCCATTGATTTCATTTTTCGTTGATAGCCAAATGCTGAAAAATAACTTCCATTTTTCCTGTTTCCAAATGAATCCTTAGATTGGTTAATCTATTGAGATATGTGTCGGGACATTCTTGATACCATACCATGAGACAATAATACACTATATGTTTTTTGTACCTTGATTATCTTTGGTTGTATATATGAGTCCTGAATCCTAGTATAGTCGATGAAGGTGTATAATTTTGTGTGATTGCAGATGAAGAGGCTAATAGATGGACTGAAACAGCAGAAAATGAAGCTTCATTGCACGGATAAAGCTGTGAGGTTTGTGGCAAATATGGGGTTTGACCCTCGATTTGGTGGCTGGGCTGTGAAGCGGGTGATTCAACAAATGGTTGAGAATGAAGTTGCATTGCGAGTGTTGAAGGGAGAGTTTAAGGAGGATGAGACGATTGTGGTGAATGTCCATATAAACCCACCAAATGCGAAGCATTCCCCTTCAGCAAGCATGTTGATCATCAACAAATTTGAAAATGTTTGTGCAGTGGCAGTGGAAGAAGCAGCCCTGGATGATTGCACAGGAATAGCAAGAGCAGAGAAAAGAAAAAGAAAGAGAGTGAGGAAAAGGATGCACAGAGCAGATGGAGAAAACACACAGAAAACAAATCTCATCATCCTCTGACTTTTCTTGGTTCTTAGCAAAATGACATTCGAGGAGTTTAGTCACACTGCATGTTCTTATTCACCTCCTCCCTCCTTAAAACCTTCATTAGTTTCATCAAATAAAGAATCATTTTTGTCCTTGTCTAGTCGGCTACGCTTTTAGCTTTACGAACATCTGCATCAAAGCTAACTATTTTACCAAACAGGACATACGCATACCATATTTTCCTCTACAAGCAGTGCTAGCTTTAGACAGTCATTGCAAAATCCATACTTTTGATTAACACGCAAGCACAAATCTTGCATCACTTGTACACCGATACCATACTGCATTTGGACAGCAATAATAGCAATGGAACTTTGAAGCTCTATCACAAATCAAGCAGGAGTGCCATTCTGGGAAATAAATATAATCTATAATAGATAAATTTTAATAAAAATAAGCTCTATAGGAAGTTGTTCAATTTGTTAAGAACCTTAAATGTCAAGTCAAGCATGGATATAGTTCAACTTGTTTTCATTTATTTTTAGAACAAATATAAGGAAAACTAACATTCTCCTAAAGCATATATATATATATATATATATATATATATATATATATATATATATAGATCAAATTACTGAAGCCAAAGGAGAGTAATAGTAGGTTGCATTGTAAGAGATCAAAGGCAACTAACACTAAATGGATCATCTGCATTTACAGTCAAATTCAATTCAGCGGTGTTTTGATATGTTGAGAAATTAAACATGCACCCTTATTATTGATTAGGAAGATTATATTCATCATAGTCACGTTTTGTCACACACTGATTAGAAGACATATAGGCAGTGAAACTTGGGTATTTAACTTTTTGACAAATATATATGCTAAAAAACACACACACTCTAGGTGGTAAGCTTTAACACATTGCCTGTAAAAAACACACATACACACACTTCCATTAAATAAATTTACATACAAAGATACTCCCTCCTTATTTAATTTAATATGTGCGTGGAAGCTTTCATAATCTCACAAAAACAGAAAACATATATGTATACCACATTGCAAGGCAAGCATTCAAGCACTCTACACACACACACACACACACATATATATATATATATATATATATATATATATATATATATATATATATATATATATATATATATATATATAAAAGAGAGAGAGAGAGAGAAGGAAAAGCATATCGGTGGGCACAAATTAAAGAAGCAGCTCTCCACCATCCTTGCACGCAAAGCAGCAGTCCTCGGTGATCACCACTTTCGTCTGATTCTCTTCCTCGTCCTTGTCCTTCCTCTTCGGCATGCCTCTGCAAGAGAGAAATCAAGACACCCAGACTCAGAAACTCAACATTCTCTCACCAATGCTTGTCAGTTTCTTGGAAAATCAGCACCAAAAATTGCTAGCTTCTATGTCATTGTGAAGTTCCCAGAAAACTAGACTGAAAATATTACAGTGATCCCACGAAAAGGACAAAAATGCATGAACCCAGACTAAGAATGTATCCTTTAACGGTAAAGCAAGAACCTTTTGGCGATAATCACGAGGGAAAAAGACTAGAATGTGTAGAAAAGCTTGGGAATTAGCCAAAATATGTAATGACTTTTTTTTTGACAGAAATATGCAAAACTCTATTGAGAGTTGCGTTTTTGAACGTATTTCATCCGTATTTTTTTTTTTTTGTTAAATACAGAAAACGCAACTGGTGGTTGCGTTTTCAAAATACGTAGGGAATACGCTAAAACGCATTTGGGTCTTGCGTTTTACCTATTGTACCTGTGAATACGTAAAACGCAAGACCCAAATGCGTTTTTTTTACCGCCGTAAAACACAAGACCCAAATTTCGTATGCGTTCTTCGCTTGACTCGCAGAAGTCAGAACCAAAGAAAAAGGAAAGGAAAAGAATTCCGCAGGTGAAGGAAGAAAACTTCAATTCGCAATAGAATATTATCTCCAAGTCTTGTGTGAGTTGTCCTCACTTTTTCTTCATCGCTGTTATCTGCTGCATTCTTATCATTATTATTACGGAGTATTATTTTTCAAAGGTATGCTTTTCTCTGTCTATTTCTCTGATCCACATTTCCGAAACGGGAATGAATCCAGTTGTAGCATGGTTCTCTTTTTACAGCCGTACGCGACGAGGAGTACAAATACTTCACAAAAACGCAACTTGGTTTTGCGTTTTACGTATAATACGTAAAACGCAAAACATAGTTGCGTATTGTGCGATACGGTATTGCCGCAAAAACGCAAGAGCCTATTGCGTTTTACGTATACAAATACGTAAACGCAACTGTCTCTTGCGTTTTCTACGAATACAAGAAAAATACGAAATACATCAAAAACGCAACTACGAATGGAGTTTTGCATATTTTTGTCCAAAAAAAAAAATACGACACATTTTGGGAATTTTTCCTTGTTGACCGTATATTTTTGTCTTTTTCCCTAATCACGATAGTTATGGCTGCAACGTATGAGAGACAAGGAAGAAGAGCAAGCGAAATGGAGAGCTTAGAATTCGGAAAAGTGATTTTTATCTATGAAAACACAAAACTTATTTGCTTATTATCTGTCGTTTTTGCTGAGATTTTGAGAAAAAAATGCAAGAGGTGATGTTTATACAGTTTTTACTCTTGCAATTTTAGTTTTTTTGTGACCCCAAGTTGGCAGATGAAATGAGAAAATAAGCTGGTACGTGCATGAATAGGGCGCAAGACGTGCCTAGATGGCACGTGAATTGCACGCGCCGCTAGGCACGTAAATTTTATTTCTTTTTTCTTTTTTTATTATCAAATTTTGTTTTTTTATTTTCCTTCTCTTTGCTTTTCTCTCTCCTTCTCCTCTCTTTTCTGCATGGGTATGAAAAAAATCAAATAAAATTTTCAACTAATGTGGTTGGTCAACTCAAGTTTGTGAAGAGTCAAAAATTAGAATTCTTCCTCGCAAGGGCTTAAGCTTAGCTAATTTTTTAGTGGTAAATTGTTAACAAGTAGTCAACTAAAACGCATGAATCAAGTTTCACAACCTAGTTTTGTAGAGTCACTGATAGCCTAGAATTGAATCATCTTAATTTATCTATTTACCAATAGTCTAGGCGTGGTCCACTCACCTAATAAATCACTTAGTCACCGTGATTTACCTCTTTATCAATAGGCTATTAATTCACTATGATTTATTCCACCTACAGCCTGGTCCTCCCACTTCATCTTGTCTAATGCAATATTGAGTCACCCTAATTTATTCCTTCACTATTCAAAAATAGAATTTCGAATTTTGTGAGAAAAAAAATTGGAATCTCTTTTACTACTAAAACTTAATCTAAACTCTAAATAAAATTTAATAATTGGTATATTTATATTTCAGAAAATGAATTTCTTTTACTGCTGCATTTAGTGCTTTTAGGAATAAGTCATGGCGAATCCAAACAGAAATTTGTTGGGATGCTTTGTGATCTTAGGGTGTGTTTGGAAACCCGAAAATGATTTCTGAAAATCATTTTCCGGGTTTCCAGTGTTTGGTAGGGAGGAAAAATACTAAAGTCAAAGGAAAATAAAGTTCAGTCAATGGAAAATTAATGCACTTTTTCGGAAAGTGACTTCCCTTTTTTTGGGGGAAGTCATTTTCCGCGTTCCTCCTCCTTCTTCGCACAATCACAGAGGCGTTTCCTTCTTCTTCTTCGCGCGACCATGGAGGCCTAAGGCGTTTCCTTCTTCTTCTTTGCACGACCATGGAGGCCTTCGTCGCGCCGCTTCCTTCTCGACCACCGGAAAACTTCATCACGTCGCTTCCTTCTCGACCATTGGAAACAGTTTCCGGCTATGGGTATGAAAACCCACAGCTGGAAACATATTGGTTTCCAACTTGAAAAACCAGAATCTTTGGTTTTCCAAGTAAGAAACCAGATTGGTTTCAAGGAATTGGTTTCCTTGGAAACCAATATGGTTTCCTTGCCGAAAACCAAACTAGTGCTCTAGTTTGGTTTCCCGCGATTGATTTCTTGTCGGAAACTAAACTTTTTTTAAAAAAAAATATTGTTTGAGTTTTTAAATAGATGAAGATTATAGGACAAGCTAAATTTCTCTTGGCATTGGTATTATAACAATTAAAATGGTGAAGTATACAATTTTGCTCATTTTCCTATTCATTTTCTAGAAAATGAACCAAACACACAAAGACAGTTTTCTGTTATGCAGCCAAACACCGAAAAGGAAAATTTTTTCCGAAAAATTAGTCATTTTTTAGAAAACATTTTCCAGAAGTCATTTTCCTGCTTTCCAAACAGACCCTAATTAATCTCTTAAGCTTTCTATAAATATAAAAAAAAATTGTTAAAAGAAAAAGAATTATTTGTCAAATATAATTATATATATGGAGTACAAAATAAACATGTTTATACTTCTTATATTTAGCAAAATTATATTATAAATTTCCTTAGTAATATAAATAGGGAAAAGTATAATTTGTTGATAGATCTTAGTCGTCCATCAAATTCATCAATAGTTCAGGGTTTTAGTAAAAATTACGGGGTTAATTTTATAATTATTGAAAATTTTTAAGAGCGGAGTTCATTTTATAATTAAATAATAGTAAGATCCTAGCGTTTGATTTCTCAACATGGAGAATGTGGATGTGTCCATACATCTACAAATCTAATAAGAGCCAATAATGTTAGGCTCTTAACTGGTACAAAAATAAAATGTTGGTGTAATGATTTCTTGAAATGAATGGTTCATATTATTTTAATTTTTGTATTTTTGCATTTTTTATGATTGAATTATTTACCCTCAATTATATTATTTTCTTCCCTTAAATAACTCTAGATTCCGTTAGTATAAACTTTAATAACGGAATAATCTGTTAACTATTTATTATTCTTTAACTTACTCATTAGTTTCTATAAGAAAGGTCTTAGGTTCGAACCTCATCCCAGTCAGAGTTGGCATAATTGTTAAATATATACTATGAATATGTTAAAATATACGGATATTAAAAAAATAAATAATATATA